GGGTTAGTAGGGTTTCCGGGAGGGTCCCTTTCAGGATATAGGATTTCGGGGTTAGGGGGCTACTGGGGCTTTAGGGTTTACGGATTTAAAGCCTTAGGGTTTGGGAGTTCTGTAAGGTTGTCTCTCGGGTTCCTTCACAGAAATCTGGGGTTCCTCCCCAGGTTGCTTCGGAGGTGCCATTGCAGGGATGCTTTGGGGTCTTAGGGTTTAGGGTTTAAGGGGTTAGGGTTAAGGGGTTTAGTGGCCTATAGGGTTGAGGGTGATGTTTTGTTGCGTTCGTTGGTTCTCAAAGGGTTTCAGAGGGTTTTTGAAGGTTGAAGGTTTTTTTTTCAAACCTTTCGTCTTTTAGGTTTGAGGAACAGACATGCGCACCGACCTCGAAATGGCAAGAGCTTAGGCCTCCACAACCTTTGAAATCTTAAACTTCAAATCCGAAACCTCCACCCCAGTATGAGAGCCCTTTTAAACCGATGCCCGTCGCAAAGGCCGTATCAGAACCCTAAAAAGCACCCACCACCCCAATGTCAACCCGACGGTTGATGATATAAATCCTGTATTGGCCACAATAAGGAATAGACCATAATTCCCATTGCTTAGGGTCTTTAAAGGTAATGCAGGATTTACATCATCAGCCGTATCGATCTGGAGAGCGTCAGGTAGTTGCCCACGAAAAGGACCAGAGCCAAGAGTTGCTCCACCTTTGGAGACCTGCCAGAACATACTGTTGATGGACAAAATCGCGCACTACCCATTATAAGGAATATACCATAGTTCCCATAGCTTAGAGTCCTTATGGTAATGCAGGATTTTGTCCATCAGCAGTATGGTAGAAGCCAGAAACTTGCAACAGTAGTATCCTCATGCCCCACTAATCCTCCCAAACCCATGTTCCAACTTATTGCCTTGCAACCCCGCCAACACCGCCGGGTATACTGGGTTCTTGTTGCAGGCACAGGTTTCAGGGTACGTAGCATAATAGGGATCTGTAGTGAATAATATGGTTTCCTTATTATTGGTATTCTAACTTTAATCCCTTAACAAGAGCCCAGAGTATTGTAGGTGAAACATGCATCGTGACCGTGACCCGTGTCAGCACATATGGCTTAGGGTTCCGGATCGGGGGCACCCGTTGACTGAAACTGCTTCGATGGACTTTAAGTAAAACTCCAATCCTCCCAAAACACAAACCCTAAACCTTAAGCATCAATCCTGCCGAAAACTTTCGTCCAAACACCAGAACCAACAATTTCCCTAGTACTGCACTTTAGCACCTGGGCTCGGCTCCTTAGGCATGGCCTGAAGGGTGTAGAGGGCCCAGCGAGCCAGGGAAGCAAACCAACCCTAAACCCGAGACCCTAAACCCCTACAACCTAAACCCCACACCCTAAAATCTAAAACCAAAACCCTAAAATCTAAAACCTAAACCCTAAAATCCAAGACCTAAACCTTAAAATCTAAAACCTAAACCCTAAAATCTAACCCCTAAACCCTAAAATCTAAAACCAACGCCAAGACATGAACCGCGCCGAGGAGCTCTTTGAGCTTCCTTGCTGCATCTGTCAGCTCCTGTTTACTTAGCTCTGGTTAGTGTTTAAGGGTTTCTGTTTAGGGTTCAGGGGTAAGGGTTAAGGGTTTTTGGGTTTAAGGGATTAGGGTTTAAGGGTTAAGGGATTAAGGTTTAGGGTATGGTTAGTAGGGAATGGAGCAATGCGGTACAATTATAACTTCTAGTACTACCATTCTTCCATTCCCTACTAACCAAAGGTAAGTTTAAGGCTTATAGGGCTTAGAGATTAGGCTTTCGGGCGTAGGGTTTCTTCACTGTCGCGTTTAAATTACGGTTTGGGGTTCAGAGTTTAGGGTTTCGGGCTGAAGGTTTAGGGTTTCTTCACTCTTCACCCAACTTCCCCACAGGGTTAGGGATTCTTTCGTTTTAAACAAAGTCGGGGTTCAGAAGTGAGGGGTTTAGAGTGACTAAGTATAAGCTTTAGGGTTCAGGGTGGCGCTCCCTAAGCCCAAAAATTGTCTCGTGTTTGTGTTGCTTCGTGGCAAACGGATGAGTCGTCTTGGGAGTGGAATGTTCAACGGCACGAACCCTCAGAACCCTCAACCGTCGCGATCGGCTCAAGACATCAACACTCTCGGACTCTAAGCCGCGAGCTGTTGGCTAAGCAAAGTAAGATACGGACATGCTTTCAGAAACTTCAAAGATGCTGGCCGCTGCACTCGTCTGTCTTGCCAAACCATAAATCGAAATCCGAATACATTACCCTAAACCCTAAACCCGAAACCCCCTAAACCGCCAAGCCCTTGAACCCTTAAAATCCTAAACCCTTAACTCCTAAGCCAAATCGAAGCGTCCTCGTGAGCCGTTAAAATGCGAGCCCGCGCCCAGTCGATCGAGTTGAGGAAGCCCCAAACTCGCACCTTTGGGTTTTTTAGGATTTGGGCATTAGGGTGGGGTTTAAGCTCTTCCTTAACCCCAAGTAACCTACCCTTTTAAGGACATATATAAAGAAATCAGATTAGGGAACCCTAAAGAGGCAGGTTCCTTAGGGTCCAGGTTGGGGCTGAGGGGTTTAGCATGTCTTTATTTAATCGGCGCTTTTCCGCTCGCCACTCCAGGAAGCTCAAGTGGGACACCTGGCCAACAAGGTCATGCAACAAATCCGGCTATCCGTCACCTGACATCAGCTGGATGAGGACGTCAAAAACAGCGCGTGACAGTGCTTCAGTTGACAAGATGCGGCGGGGACGGCTAGGGGCTAGGCTTCCCAAAGCACACAAACTCCGCCACAACACAAAACCCGAAACCACCCTACGCTGTATGGACCACTCTTCTGGCCCATCAGGGCGGATGCTAGGGCTTCTACAGCTGAAAACCAAAAGGCCAACTTCCCAAGAGGGTCCATATATACTACCATTATGGAATTAGGTCCCAAAAGACCATCCCCATTATGGCTTTGGGGGCCCAATTCCATAATGGTAGTATATATGGACCCTCTAGGTTCCTGCAACACTACGCAACACTCACTCTCGAAAACCTTCACCCGACACTTCCAAAGACTCGAAACCCCTGAAATACTAAATCCGGAACCTTGAAGAGCCAACACCTCCAAAACGGAATCCCTAAAGAGCGGCTCTTTCTAGCAACTTGTTTTAATAAGTTTTCCCAGAACCCTACTTGAAGGGTTTCGGGATTAGGGGAAAAGGCCCTATACTATAGAACATTATCGAACCCTTACAGGAAACCGCTGACAAACAACCTAAACCCCAAGCCCCTAAACTCCGAACCCGTGAACGCGAAACCCAAAAAACACCCAAATGCAAGGCCGTAAGTCCCAACCCCTTAACCCTACAGTAAACCCCATAAACTTGGAAACCGGTTAAGGCCAAATAGTGCTGGGATTCCACATACACTACTCTTAAGGATTGATGCCATGGGGTTCCCAACTTTTGGGCTTCTACTGTAAACTGCTACACTCAACCCCAAGCTTTCTCAAAATCAAGCTGCACGGAGCGAATACAGTGGGATAGACGAAAGAGCCAGGACCTCGAGGATCCGAGGAGGGACCCTTAATCAGGACCCCTAGGTATGTACCCTTAATATAGCTATTTTTGTAGTCATTATATAGCCCATTATTATGGGGTAGTCCATAGGGTGTTCAACAAGCTGGGGTTTAGGGCTTTATGAAAGGTTTGGGCTTCAGTGTCTGGTTTTAGGGTTTAGCGTGTTGTGGGCTGTCGCGTGCTGTGTTGAACGATGTTGTTTGTTTCAAGGTTTGGTGTAGGATTGTGAAGGGTTTGTTGCATTTTACAGGTCTGAATGACTATAGGGGGGCCTTAGTACATGGAATAAGGCTTCGGGGATATGTTATAGTACAAGAGATCATAACGAACCCTGTAAAAAGGGATGCGTCTGATTGCAAATTAATTCCGAGCCCGAGATTCGCCGTCCAAACACCAACCTCTGAGCCTTGTGTAGGCCGATTCTGAGCACTTCACCCCAACCACCAAACCCTGCACCTCTAAACCCTAAACCCTACCCCCTAAACCCAACACTATACTCTGATTGCCTCTGATCGGAGTCTAATCCCTTAACCCGGGTCCCGAAACGACGTGATGGCAGAAATTTGCACCCTGAACTTGAAGCCCTAAGGCTTGGCACCTTGTCAAACACGACAGACAGGGTTTACAAAAATGTGGACCCTACTTGTCCTACTTTCGCTGTATAACAGGGCTCCACTGGAACCAGCCGTAAGAGAGTTTCAAGAGGAAGGAATTAGAGGGGCCGCAAGTAGACCGCGTGGAAACACGGTCGAGATCCAGACAAACTCCTCCGGCGCATCCCAAAGTTCGCCTGTTTGCAGGTGGATGCTCGGAAGCGGAAAACTCACTAAGCGCTAGTCTGCTAATCATGAACACTCCTCTTCAGGGACGGGTCCTAATTGAAACGGGCAACATACTCTGTTGGGTTAAACTACTGAGCTGTCGAAGTTCGGGACTCCGCTTCTCAAGGAGAACTCCCATAAACATATAGGGTTTAGGGCTTAGGAGCAAATTGCTAGACGCCTAGATGCTTGCATATTTTGTCTGCTCCGCAGCATACTTGGCAAACAGAGCTGTAATCACGGTATCTGCACATTAACACTGCTTGCCCAAACTGAGGTACTTTTATCTTATATATAACCACAGGCTTATCATCTGCAAGCAGTAGCAAGTAGCCTTCCTGCACGAAACTGGTGGGCACAACACACAGGCTGTACCTAGTAGCCAGCTCTAGAACCATAAGGGTCCATGTGCCAATGTAGTAGGTACTTAGCAAGTATTCGGGCTCCAAAAGGTATATACTATACCAGTACACAAATCCTTTGAATAATCAGAAACAAACTTTGCACTCGAAGCCTAAGCGCACCTGAATCATCCTGGTCAAACACGCCATTAAAACCTAAAGCCGCGCGAAACCGCAAAGACCCAATTGCAACCCTATCAAACCTTGCTTAAACCCCTAACTCAGACACCCGTTGAACTCCGGTGCCTTCAGCCAGGGGCTCGGCTTTCAGAGAGCTTTCGATCAGCTGAAGATCCACTGGCATGGGGAGGTTCATCTGCAGGAGCTCCACCTCCCGGTGTTCGGAATACGGCTTCTACATTGGGTACGGCCCCCATACAGCAACAGTCTATAATAGGGCTACTGTTAAGGGACTTATATATCTATAATATGAATCTTATCCAACTGTTACTGAGTGGGGGCCGTACCCAAGTTCTACATAGCGTTCCTGTAATAAAGGCTTCTATATAAGGGTTTCTTTTGAGTAGAGGGTTCCAAAAGGTTCCTGCAGGAGTTTCGCAGAGGGTTTCGGGGTGCGGGTTGGCGGTGAAGGGTGTAGGATTTTGGGATTTTGGGGTTTGGGGCTTGGAGGCTTAGGGTATAGGGTAAGTTTAGACAGGTTTAGGAGGTCTTTCTAACACAAACTCCTCCCTGCCCTCAACTAAAAGAAAACTATTAACCCCAAAGTCTAAATCCCATACTGCCCTTGGAAACGAAATGGGTCAGGGATTTAATCTTCCGGAGTGGAGGAATCAAGTTCCCCAACCGTCAAGCCTAGCAAAGTGGCCCACCTAACGGTAGACGAAAGTCCCTTGGCCCAAAGCTCCTAACATTCAACCCCAAACCCAAGTTGCCATAGCCCCTAAACCCTAAACAATCAAACCCTAAACCCTGAACCCTAATTAAACCCTATAACCCTAAAACCCCAAATCCTCAAAGTGAGCCTTCTCCGGCTTCAGCTGCTCATCGTCCATGGAAGCCACAGCTTCCAAGAGCTGTGCTCTCTCCGGCATGAGGGCCTCGAAGCAAGGTTTGGGGTTTAGGGGGTAGGGAAACCCTCAACCCTAAACCCTAGACATCCCTAGACCGCTTTAATGAAGGTCCAATAGCATTCACCCTAATGTGAGAGCCTCGAATTGGACTGCCCACACGGGGCTCTCGGGTTTTCTTAAAATCACGAACACAGGGGCTTTTGTAACCATAGAAGAAAGAGAGGCCTGATGGCTTAGGTCTGGGATGGGTGCATGAACTTCAAAATGATGCAGAGTTTGGGGGCTAGACCATCAACACTAGAAAATAAACTGCGCAGTAGTGGATAGCTTGCAGGCGTGCAGCCAGCATGAACCAAAGCTGTCTGCGGCGCTTCTCGTCGAGCACGCGACGGCGCTTCCTCGACTGATGCAGCTGTAGGACTGCAAGACGTTATAGAGACTCCAATATCCCTTAATTAAGGAATATACCTTAAATTATAGTAGGATCCTTAATATGATTTAAGGTATATTCCCTAATTAAGGAATATTGGAGTCTCTGGGGACGTTATAGCGACAACATGTTTCACGTTAAAACCCCATCATGCTACGCCTCACTGTGGGGCAGTCGGGTAATTACCAGGTTCGTGCTCATGGCCTTTCCTACAGGCTTCCTGCTTGAATCGCTTCCTATATGACTTGGTCAAGCTCAAACTATGCAAAAGGATAGAACCTGCGTGGCAAAAGAGCATTCGTGCAGGTCTTGATTCATCTTGATTGGCTTGCTCGTCTTTGGGCCAGGTGCTGCTGTTTTCGACATCAGTTTTGTACGTCTTTCACACACACACACACACTGACTGATTCACTCACTTATTCACTGACCCACTGACTCACTCACTCCCTCACTCGCACTTGCACTTGCACTCGCACTCGCACTCGCACTCGCTCTCACTCCCACTGCCACTCCCATGCTCACTCTCACTCTCATTGTCACTCCCACGCACACACACTCTCTCTCACTCTCCCACTCCCACTCCCACTGCCACTCTCACACTCACTCTCACTCTCTCTCACACACACACACTCTCTCTCTCTCTCTCTCTCTCTGCTGGGACAGAATGCAAAGACGCTGCCTGCGAGCGATCTCAACTTCCTGCCCAACCCAACCGGCACCATTACGGTAACAACAACAAGAACTTGACTTGCACGTGTCATAACTGGTGGACTGACAGGAACAGGGACTGGCGATGGTTGCTATGACCAGTTGTACATGGTAACCATTGCTGTGGTTCTAGTTTATGTAGCTGTGTGTTATGATTGCCACGACTATCCTCAACAACCAAAGAACTCAAACCTTGGAAAGAAAACCCGACCCCACAAGAACTCCGTAAACCCGAAACCCCACAGAGATATTTCTTCGCCCAGTGACTGTGTTCGCGGCCGCTGCGGCGATGCACCGCCACAGCCGCCTGCCTCGTAGATACAGCTTCTACTTCGCCGATCGGGGGTCTTACAGCAATGTACGGTGACCCCAAGCACACTTTTGGAACACCCTTCTATAAGCTTAAACCCTGAGGCCCAAATATCCACTTGAGCCTCATGCACCCTTAACCCTAAACCCCAAAGCCTAAATACCAATCTAGAACTCACAAACCATGACCCATATGCCCAGCTAGAACCCTTTATAACCCTAAACCTTAAAACCTAAATACCCATCTAGACCCCTCATAAATCTAGAACCCTTATGGCCCGAAACCCCCGAACCCGAAGCCTACATGCCCATCTAGAGCCCCTGTAAATCTAGAACCCTGTGAAGCCCTAACCCCCAAACTTAAAGCCTAACCTCCCTTCTAGAGCCCCTAGCCCAGAAAAGGTTCACCTTTCCAATTATGGTAGGATTATATAAATCCCAGGAGGTTGAAGGATACCTACTCAGCTACTAAGATGACCTTATCTAGATTTCAGAATAGACCACCTAGTATTCGGTTCAAATAAGCGGACCCTAAGAGCAAAAGGGCAAAAGGATACTACTCAGGAACCTCGTTGGGAGTTTCCTTAAAACAGGGGGCCCCAATATAGTACACCAAATAGTAGGATCCTTACTATATTATAAGGAACCCCCCAAAATAAGGTACCCCCTACTTTGCAGAAATTCCCTAAACCCTAAACGCTCTACAGAACCCTCATAGACCCCTTTAAAAGAACCCTTACAGCCCCTAAACCCCTAAACCCTAAACCCCTAGACCCTTATAGTACCTCTATAGATCCCTTAAAGGGACCCTTCAAGGGGAACCCTACTTGAAGGCTCATGGGACTTAGTAAGTAAGGTTATAAGTAGGTTACAATTAGGATAACCCCACTTAGGGGACTTATAACCCCAATTATAACCTACTTGCTAAGTCCCATGATCCTCTAAGTTCCCTAAACTCCCCCTTATAGAACCCTTACAGACTTATAGATCCCTTAAAAAAGGAGCCCTTTAAAGGAACCCTAGGGTTTCTTACTAAGTCCCATGATCCTCCAAGTATGCCCTAAACCCTAAACCCTAAGTATGGGGCTCTTTGGGGAAGCTACAAAGGTCTTAAGGTCCCCTTTAAAGGAACCCTAGGAATTTTCGGAAACTATAGATCCCTTAAAGGGACCCTTCAAGGGGAACCCTAAACCCTAAACCCTAAACCCTAATTCCTAGGAATTTTCAAGGGCTCTTCAGCCCGGCCTCGGCGAAGTTGTCCTCCAGCTCATCCTAAGCTCTCTCCGACATCTCCGTTTTCGGGGAGTTTCCGAAAATTCCTATGGTTCCTTTAAAGGGGATCCTTGAGGGGGTTCCTTTAAAGGGATCTATGAGGGTTCTATAGAGGGTTTAGGGTTTAGAGTTTCCGAAATTTAGGGGTAACTCAGTTTGGGGCCCTTGTAATCAGGATCCTACTATTTAGGGCACAAACTTAGGGTCCCTTATTTTCGGAAACTACCGTTTGTTTCTTGGGGGGTGCTTAAGCCGCAAGGGCCCCTGGTTGGGAGGTCTAGGTTTTAGAGCGTTCTTAAGGGCCCCATTTTCGACTGCAGATTCGAAAGTCTCTTTTAAGGCGAGCTTCTTAAGGTTTTAGAGTTTAAAGTCTAGGGTCCTACAGCCTCCTCAGTCCTGGGGGGATGTAGAGTTGAAGGTTTAGGGCTTGCTTAGGGTTTAGGGTTTACTGACGGCTTAGGGCTCAGGGGTTTAATCCATAGGGCCGCTAAACTACTGCAAGGGTTTGCATAACGACTACAGAAAGCCAAAAGCACAAGGTGTCACAAGGGACAAGTGAGGGGCCCAGCATGCTAAAGCCCATACACCCGGGTAGCTAAACCATAAACCCCCAAATCTCCGAAACCCACAAACGCCCAACCCCTAAACCCGTACCCTCAAACTTTGAGGGGGCCTTGGAAGGAATCTTTACAGGAACAATTCACATCCCCTTACAGGAGCTCAAACACTGAAGATAAAGCATGTAAAACACCCCTTACGGTTCCCTAAAACCTTCCCTTAAAGGACCTCAAAAGCCTATATACCACAAAGGAATCCTTGTGCCACCTTACAGGAACCCCTTTGGCACCCCTTTTGGATCCCTTCACCCCAACAGGATCTAAACCTTCAACCCTTGAAGGACCCATAAAACCCCCAAAAGGATCCCCTTAAAGACTCCAACCCTTCAAAGATCCATTGAAGGAACCCTTCACGGACCCTTAAAGAATCCCCCAGAAGGATCTCTAAAAGGCCTCTAGTCTAAACCCTCAACTCTTGAAGGACCCCCAAAAGGACCGCTTAAAGGCCTCTAAGCCCTCAGCCCTCAAAGGACCCCTAAGCCCTAAACCCCATGAACCCTGAACCCCCACCTTGAGGGACCCTTAAACAGCCCCCAAACCCTAAACCCTAAACCCTGAACGCTAACCCCTAAACCCTAATCCCCAAACCCTAATCCCTAAACCCTAATCAATAAACCCTAATCAATAAACCCTAATCCCTAATCCCTAAACCCTAATCCCTAAACCCTAATCCCTGAACCCTAATCAATAAACCCTAATCCCTATACCCAAAAGCCTGATCCCTAAACCCTAAACCCAAAACCCCAAACCCTAAACCCCAATCCCTAATCCCGAAACCGTAAACCCTATCCCAAAACCCTAAACCCTAATCCCCAAAAGGACGAGGATCCATGTCGAAGAAGTTGCCTGGGCTTTTAAGTAACCAGGGAGAAAAAAGTATAAACTTTAATTTCATAAGGGTTCCTTTAAGAAAAAAGTATTAAAGTATGGTACTCCACAGCCCAGTTGCCTCCCTGCTCGAAACGCTGGGCTGCAAACTCCCAAACCTCGGAGGCGTCTTTTGGGGGTGTCAAAAGGGCTCTGTCTGGGTTTTTTTCGGGTTCCTTTAGCGGGAGCTATAGGGCTTCCTTTAAGGGCTCCTTTGAGGAGTCTAGGGTTTGGGGTTTAGTGGATTTTGGGGTTTTGGGTTTAGGGGCTTTTGGGGTTTAGGGTTTCGGGCTTGGCGGTCCTTGAAAGGGTCCTTCAAGGGATATAGGGGTTTAGGCTTCAAAAGGGGTTTTAGTGGCTTAGGGTCAGCAGTGGATTAGCAGGTTTGGGGTTGAGGGGTATTTAGGGTATATACGGGTCCCTGTACCCACATGGTATATACTTTGGTCCCCAAAACACCTTCTTCGGGATTACTTTAAGGCTTGTTTTTGTAGGGGTCGAGGGTTTTGATCTCCGAGGCTTGGGGTTTAGATGTTTTGGGCTTGAGCTCCAGAGTTCCAAGTGTTTTGAGCTTGATATAACCTACTATTTGCTTAAGAAACCCCCAAAAAATAAAAATAATAATCCCTATATTACCCCCATAAGGAATATATTTTTTCTTAAGCAAATAGTAGTAAGGGGTTTGGGCTCCAAGGGTTTCGAGCCAATGATTTTGGGTTAAGGGCTTAGGGTTTAGGGGTTTCGAGCCTAAGATTTCGGGCTTTAGAGGGTTTAGGGCTGGGGGGGTTCATGTCGGGCTTAAGGCTTTAAGGGTTGGGCTTCTTTCTTTAAGGACGGATCACAGGGAGTTCTACAGTGTTGTGGTCTCCTGTAAAGGGCGACTATAAGGGTTCAGATCCATGACTTAACCGGGTTTCCAAGAAGTTGTCCACGAAATCTTAAACCCTAAATCCCAAGCCCCAAACCCCAAACCAAAGCTGTAGACTGAAACCTACCGAGACCCACAAAGGTCGTTCTTGGCTTGGCTGACCTAGTGTATGGTTAGGACCCCACACAAAGGACACAAGACGGGCAAAACAGAACTGACTTGACCATAACCGGGGCCTAGGTGAAAAAATGGGTTAACCACGAAAAGGGCTTAGGGTTTAGGTTTAGGTTTAGGTTAAGGGTATAGGGTTTGGGGTTTAGGATTTGGTGTATAGGGTTTAGGGTTTGGGGTTTAGGTTTAGGGTTTAGGGCTTCGGGACCAGTGCGAAGCTCAACGGGAAGCCTTGACAATCCTTCCGAGCAACGGTGGAAGAAAAGCCGTTCCCCAGCTTGAGAGGGTTCCTTGCAATGCTGCACCACTTTAAACCTAAACCCCAAACCCTAAACCCAAAACCCCAAACCCTAAACCCCAAACTCTAAGCCCCAAACCCCAAACCCTAAACCCTAAGCCCCAAACCCTAAACCCTAAACCCCAAACCCTAAACCCTAAGCCCCAAACCCTAAACCCCAAACCCCAAACCCCAAACCCTAAACCCTAAGCCCCAAACCCTAAATTCCCACCCAGGCCTGCTTAGGCCGTACCCACCCTTTTTCTTAGGGTGCCTGGACCCAGAAGGACATCCGGCAGTGATTGACACCAACTCTGGATGGACAATGGGTGGAGCCATTGGAGAATGGTCGAATTCAGCCCCTAGGGCTGCGCCCATATTCGCAGAGGGAATTCCCTCGAATCTCAAGAGATTAGCATACCCTAAACGCGCTTGGTGGACATTTCCCTTTGGCCCCCCTTCAGAAAAGGCCCCAAAGGCCGGCCCAGGGGGCCCCCCAGCTGGCAGATTCCAGGGACCCGGGGGGCTCCTGGCAGGTCCTAGGGGGAGACTTGGCGTTTTCTGCCCTTCCTTGGCTTTCTGCTGGCCCGTCCTGGCCCTCCCTGGGCCCCCCTGGCCCCCCCTGGCCCCCCCCTGGCCCCTGGCCCCCCCTGGCCCTCCCTGGCCCCCCTTGCCCTCCCCTGGCCCTCGCCACCTCTGCCCGCCCTGACCCTATCTGTTTTGTGGCGTGTGCAACAGACAGACCAGGGGCAGTGGGAATTGAGGGCGTAAGCGCTAAACCCTAAAAGGCAATGTTTTGGGTGGTAGCCTGTGTATTCTCACAGCGGGTGGGAAAAGGTGAGGAACCAATGTGTAATTGTTTAGTGGTGGAATCGCATTTGGGGCGCCATCCTACATAGAAAATACTGCCGCTGCGCGGCGAGACGCCCTAAACCCCAAACCCCAAACCCTAAGCCCCAAGCCCCAAACCCCAAACCCCAAACCCTAAACCCTAAACCCCAAACCCTAAACCCTAAACCCCAAACCCTAAACCCTAAGCCCCAAACCCCAAACCCTAAACCCCAAACCTCAAACCCTAAACCCCAAACCCCAAACCCTAAACCCCAAACCCCAAACCCTAAACCCCAAACCCTAAACCCAAAAGGCCTGGGGGTTTTAGAAACTCGAATCCGAGGCTCCAAGCTGGCCTTGAGGATTAGGGTTTAGGGTATACCTTAACCCCAAGTAACCTTCCTTTTTAAAGACTTATACAAAGAAATCATATTAGGGAACCCTAAAAAAGGAGGCTCCTTAGGGTCCAGGTAGGGTTTAGGCCGATGACTTACGAAATTTTGGGAGCCAGTCCGTAAACCCTGAACCTCTACACCCCTAAACCTCTAACCCTAAACCCTTTAAACCTCCTTAGCCCGAAACCCCTAAACCACCCTAAACCCGAAACCGAACATGTTGGGGAGGCTTTTTCGGCTTTCTAGAGCTTCCTGCTGGGGACAAAGCTTCGGGAAGCTAGTGCCTGAGATGTCGTCGGGTGTCTGCGGCTCAGAGTCGTAGAGTTTAGGTGGCTTCAGGATTCTAGGTTTCAGCAGTATAGGGTTTGGGGCAAACTAGAGCACCACAAACTTGAGGTGTATACAGTTATAAGTGTGTATATGTCATATGTATATATACAGATATATAAGTATTACAGATATATGCGTGTAGTTTATAACAGTTGTGTGTACATATGTATATATATATATCTTATATATATATATATATATATATATATATATATACACATACACAAACGTATTGAACCGCTACAGGACGTATGTCCTCTAAGTACTAAAGCCTTAAACCCTATAATTCGTAGGAGCCTTGCACTGTCAGGGTAGGGCTCAATCGGGTTAAGAGCTCGGTTTATAGTAAAAGCCAGAAAGTTGGAATATCATTATCCTAACCCTTCTATGGTAAATTATAGGGTATCCTACCATGAAACCATATTCCAACTTTCTGGAGTTCCCTGTAGGGCTTCGGGTTCATACGCTGTGGCGTGCAAGCTCAACTCCTGTCTTTCACAACTGACCCGCGCCAAGGTCTATATTGGCATTCAGCCCTGGCCCTAAACCCTAAACCCTAAATTAAACCCTAACCCCTAAACTCTAAACCCTAAATTAAAACCCTAAACGCTAAACCCTAATCCCTAAATTAAAACCCTAAACTCTGAACCCTAAATTAAACCCTAAACCCCCTATAAGCCTGCACAATAGAATCCCACCTAAACCCTAGAATTCAAACCCTATGCCTAGAACCCTAAAACCTAAAATCCTAAACACTGAAGCCCCCCTGATGCCATGGCATTTGCTACAAGTCAGGGCTCCAGTACAACTTCTTCATCGCCTTACGAGGCTTCACCTGCCAGATAGCAGCACCACTTCGAGGACACAGTAGAGGGCGCAGGCCCATCGCTTAAAGTTCGCTCCAAGGTTCTACAAGGGTTGCTGTAAGATTTTCAATATGAGGAGGCCATGGCAATCAGAACAGTACGCCTGAGGGATATTATGGTACAACAGGGCTTTGAGACAGCAAGCCCGCATGGCTAGAGGCAGTACTTGGAGGTCATGGGACTTAGTAAGTCAGGTTATAAGTACCTTCAGTGGGCTGATAAGTGCTTAAAAGTATAGTTACCATATTTATAGCCCCAGTTACTGAGTCCCATTATCCTTTAAGTAGACTCATAAGGCTAGCCATTGGGTTCCAGGTTCCACACAGAAGGGCCAAAACCACTGTCCACTCCCAGCACCCGAAACCCTACACCGCCTGGCGCTCTTAGCCCTGGTAGCATCGGATGATTAATAGGGACCCTTAGGGGGGTAAGGGGGGAGTGGGGTAAGGGACTATGCTTCCTCAAATGGGCCTTATTCGGTCCTTATTATGGGTATTAAGGCCCCCTACCCCCATCCCCCTACCCCCCTAAGGGCCCAAATGAACGATTAAGAAGCCCGGGTGCTATAACCCTAAAATATCAGGATTCAAACAAAGAACCTCCAAACAAGGCTCGCTTTTTTGCATGAAGTTCCTATAGTAATACAAGGGCCTTCATATTTGGGGCCCGTTATACTATAGATATAATAAGGACCCCCTAGAGTAAATCTTGAGGCCCCTCTACCATAACCCTACTAGAGATCCCTCATAATAACCTAGAGACCTTTATAAGAACCCTTTAAATTAAAGGAACCCTATTCTAATTCTTGAGGACCCTATGGTATCCTGAATCCCGGATGCCTCCGGCATGCGGGGCTGACGGGCGGATTCCACGTCGGGGCCCTTGCCCTTGCCTCGCACGTGCAGAGGCTCCCCCAACCCTAACACCGAAATCCTAAACCCTAAACCCGAAAGCCTAAACCCTAAACCGAAGGGTGTTGGTTTTCAGCAAGTAGGGTTTAAGATCTGAACATTTAGGGTTTGAGCGCTTGGAAGTTGGAGCGCGTGCAGTATGCAGGGGCCTGTGATGATCCGATCGCAGCAGTTCTCGAGTTCCGGGTTGTTGAGTCTTTCTGCATTCAGGGACTGTGGGCCTTGCATAGTGTAGCTGTGCCTGCCGCACTGAAGGCAGACAAGAGACAAACCACAATAGAAATGACCCAACAGTGAAAAGCTGCTAGGCAGTTGGCAAATATCTGCCCAGGAAATCCCCCATAAGGCCCTTTTCCCGGCGATTGGGAGGCATCTGTTGAACAAGTGATCATAAGCGCTGCACGAACATCACGAAGCCCTGCTTAAAACCTTATGAGGCCATGAATAAGCCCCGATGCAAACCTTACTTAAACCTTGAACAACAACCCCTTACCAAGTCCTGGTTGACCACGAGAAAATCATCCATAAACCCTCGACAACTTGACACCCTGAACCAAACCCTAAACCCCCAACTCCAACCCTCTACACCCAAAGCCCTTACTTAATACATAACTGCCAACACTATTTTGGGTGCTCCTTCTTATAGTCATTATGATGGGCCCCCCCAAAGCTGTTCTAATGATAAAGTAAAGGCCCCTCTATTAAACCGATTCCCCGGCCTCTTTAAACCCCCCAACCCTCTACATACACCCTAAACCTTATTTAAACCCTAAACCCTTAAACTCTTAAACCCTAAACCCTTAAACCCTCAAACCCTAAACCCTAAACCCTTAGATCTTAAACCCTAATTAAACCCTAAACCCTTAAACCCTTAGACCGATTCCCCCGGGCCTTTTTTTGGAGGCGGAGCTTTTCCCGGGGCTTTGCCTTTGCCTTTGCCCGGCGAGGTCGGGGATGGAGATGTCGGCGAGGCCTCGTAGTGCGTCTTACTTACCTTTGGCTAGTAGGGACTGGAAGAATGGTAGTAATGCAGTTAGAATTGTACCCCATACCTCCATTCCCTGCTAACCAAAGGTAAGCTTAGGAGTCCTTTGAGGGCTCGTTTAAGGGTTCTATAAGGGTTTTGTGTGGGTTCTCTACGGGATTTGGAGTTTAGTGCTGCTTCGTGTGGGTCCTCGCTAAGGGATGTATCTTAGAAATGTCATAATCAGGAATCCATAGTATTAACTATAGATCCCTATGATGGTAACTTAAACTAAAATTGTTAATTCCCTTGCAAGAACCCAGTTCTTGTTCCGCTGGTGGCCCGGGATTTAGGGGTGCAGGGCTTAGAGGTTCAGGGTTTGGGGTTTCGGCTTAGGGTTGAGGGTCTAGGGCTAAGGAGTTTAGGGTTTGCCGTTGAGGGGTTTAGGATTTAAGGCTGGGCTTGGGGGTTTGAGAGCTCAGGGCTTGTTGAGAATCACGTTGCCATGATATGCATCTTACATATCATGTACGTGCGTTTTCTGTGGCTGCTAGGCCTAGGGATGGAGGTTGGACTGCGTTTCCAACCCACTTCGAACCTTGATTCGCAAATACGGGCGTGTGGGAATAGCCCGAGAGCTTTCGGCCAACCGAAAGCCGAATATCATGGGGTTGGGGGGGTGGTATAGTATAGAATAGTCTTGATGTAGTGTGCTACTACCATGAACCCTAAACATCCCTAAACCCTTATAGCAGTTAGCCAATGCTGATCGTTCGCGCTTCCACAAAAAGCCCACCACATCCCAAGCCTCGGAGGGCGTCTTCGGGCTGATGGGCTCGCTCTCCTTCTCCTTGTCTTTGGGCTTCTCCTTGCTTTGGGGTTTAAGGTTGAAGGCTCAGGGGGTGAGGGTTTAGGGTTAGGTTTTGGGGCATGTCCTTGGGTTTCTCGTTGCAGAGTCTTGAGAGCAGAGCCCTAGACCCTATCTATCTATCTGTCTATCTATCTATACATACATGTACATGTCATAGAGCCTAAAACCTGTACCTGCCAGTGCCCATTGTTTTGCATTAAGCCTGAACTCGGAACCTCAACACCTCCAACATATGGACTTTCGACCCGAAGACCTGTAGCGATACAGGGTTTTTGGGTGGTATATAAAACATATGGATATAATAAGGAACCCCCAAAATAGCATGGGTAAATACTAGGGGCCCCTATGATACAGGCGTCCTTGCTGATCGTCGGAACGTTCTCGCTCTTGCTGCTCTCGCTGGCCTTGGGCTCCTGCCGCAGGCTTTTCCGAATTCCTGGTGTCGTTTTGAACCTGTTAGTATAGGGGCCCTAAGCATTACCTATCCTATTTTGGGGGTTGCTGATCGTAATTACAGTATAATGGCCCCAAAGCCCTATTCTCATTATTATTAGGGCCCCTATAGTGCGCTAAGCTTCTGAGAAATGGGCGGCCTAGGGATCAGTCAGTGTTAGGACTTGCGGATTGGGTGACTACACCCTCAACCATACAGTCTGGGAAGAAGACAGCACCACGGCAAGACCACACATCAGCGCCCTGATTTAAACTCCAAGCGACATTCGGAAAACCCTACCAAACCCCTCAACCGCAATCCCGAAACCCTGAATCCTAAAGCCCCCATCCAAGCCCTAAAGTCGGCCCTAATGCCTCCCCATACGTCCTAAACCTCAAACCCTAAACCCTCAACTTTCCTAAACCCTCAACACTAAGCTTTCCTAAATCCTATAAATCCTAAACCCCCGAGCTTTCCTAAACCCGGAACCCTAAACTTTCCTAGACCCTAAACCCCCAGACTTTCCTAAACCCTCAACCCTAAACTTTCCCAAACCCTAGACCCTTAACTTTCCTAAACCCTAGACCCTTAACTTTCCTAAACCCTAGACCCTAAACCTTTCCTAAACATTAGAAACCCTATAGTTTCCTAAACCCTAGACCCTAAACTTTGCTAAACCCTATAAACGCTAAACTTTCCTAAACCCTAAACCCCAAACTTTCCCAAATCCTAGAAACCCTAAACTCCTAAACTTTCCTAAACCCTATAGAGCCTAAGCATTCCTAAACTCTAAACCCATGCCCTCCCAAAAAAGTCCGAAGTCACGGGGTCTCCTCGATTTGCTTTGCTTCTGCAGCCTTCTTTTGCAAGGCCTCCAAGCGCTTCCGCAATGCCTCCTCTAGAGCTGCTGGCATCATGTAGGGTAGGGTAGGGTTTAGGGTTTAGGGTTTAGGGTTTAGGGTTTAACTAGAGGGTTTAGGGTGATCTTTTGTTTAAGGTGTTTTTCCGTCTGCATCATGTAGAGTTTTGTGGTTGAGGGGTAGGGCTGCCGTCGCTCTCTAGGGCTCCTTAGTCAGCTACTACTTAAAGGATCATGGGACTTAATAACTGGTGTTATAAATAAAGTAACTGCTCCCGGCAGACGACCCGACAGGCACTTTCGACATCGGACCGCTTGTAGCTCTGAGGCTCGATGAAGAACTGCAGGGCCTTCTCGAAATCGGCGAAGGCCTTTTTGTGGTCCGCAGGGACCACGGCCACCACAGACACAACCGCCTGTATGATCTCGTAGAGGACTCGGACCGCCTGAGCCCACTCCTCCACGAGTTCCTCTGCGTACGAGGCCACTGTCGTCGCCTTTCGGACCATGAGGTTGTCAGCGAGGCCCAGACTGAACTTCGCGACATCGGCCCCATTCCTGAAGAGATGCTTCAGCTTGCCTGGCGAGTGACTGAAGATCGGACCCCACTTGTAGGTCAGGCTCACGAGAAGCTCCTCCACGGAGTCGTCCATGTTCTTGTCCACCGTGTTGGCCGCAAAGAGCAAGTTCTTGTCCACCTTAGAGCCACCATATGTCAACTTGCCAAAGCTCTTCTGCAAGTTGGCGATGACCTCCTCCTTGAATGCAAGAAGTGAAGAAAGAACTAAAACCCCCTATATAGGCACTTATAAGCCCTTAAAGTACTTATAACCTGACTTACTAGGTCCCATGATCCTCCAAGTAGGTTGCATAATCATGTGATTACTGACTTACCGGTATAGTGGCCTTAATAATTCAAGAGAGAGATGGAAAGGGTTACTCGGGTCTGGTAAATTATGCTAGAAACGACGATAAATATGAGCAGGAGGCAGGAACCCTAAGGGACAGTATTGATATTTATTTACGCCGCTGTACTACTTTACTTGGGCAAGTGGAGCCCTAGACCTTCATAAATGCTTTGGTGACGCAAGGATTTTCATTTGTTTAAGGGTTTGTGGGACTCGAAACTGCTATAGCCCTCATTAATTAGGGTACTTATAACGCCGTTCACTGTCCCCTGATCCTTCAAATGGAGACGGCTCGACACAGCACCGACACGCCAAACAACCCTGAACCAAGTCTCTCGAAAGCCTCTTGCACAGCTCTACGCCATGATCTTGGATCCGTTGATGCCTATGACGACCAGCAGTGCCAAGCACTGAAAGTCTCAAATCCATGCATGGCTACAGCTTCAAACCAAAAAAGCCCAGAGCCTGATGTACTACAACCTACAGACCAACTGACCTCAAAACTCCAAGCCCCATGTCTCCAGATATTACGTGACCCATAAGCAGATCCTAACCTCGGAGTAGGAATACTTACTAGGAGTATCCACCTCTTGCACTCACATAATAAGCCTGTCAACTCCACCAAAACCCTGTGTCCGTTGTCAGGCTTCCTCCTCTGCCAGCTGTTCCTTGAACTTGGCACTGCGGGCAAGCAGCGCTTCCTGACAAGCCCGACAGTGTCAAGGTTCTAAGTTTAGGAACTTATAGTATACTGGTCTCAGACGTGCTATGATGACTCTCCTTCTGACTATCCAGCAGTCCGTCTGTCCAACCATATCTATCTGTCTGTTTAATCTATCCATTTGTCTGTCTCTCATTTACGGTATAGTCTCTCTCTCTCTCTCTCTCTCTCTCTCTCTCTCTCTCTCTCTCTCTGTATATATATATATATACTGCATGTACACACGCATGTGTTTGCACACATTATGTCATTATGTGAACAAGTAAACACATAAGTACATAAACACATATGGTAGTAGTGATAATAATCGTGATAATAAGAATATTAAGAATAATAATGAGAATACGAGCAATAATGGTATGTATAACACGAATCACTAATCAGAACCAAAAAAGTAATACCAAGAAGAATGAGAATCAGAATGACAAGGATAGTTCAAAGGGGAAAGGAGGGACCCTCAATGGGGACCCCCGCCCTTTAATGGGCTATAGAATGGGTATATATTAGCTATATTAAGAGTGTATACCTAGGGGTCCTTATTAAGGGTCCCTCCTTTTACCCTTGGAGTAGTGAACCAGGGCTAACGTGGTGCCAAGGAGTCTATATAGATTGTCGCGCGCGGTCAGGCCAGATGGCTGGTTGTCAAAATCAGGGTCGCTTTCTGGGTACCATAAATATTAGGTGCCGTATTATATGAGGGACCCAAAAAGGCACCATAATTTTGACAACCACTCAGATGAATGAACTGAGTGGCACGGCTCGGCACATTCAGGCGTAAGGTTTAGGGCATGAAAAGGACAGCTACGCATAAAGTATAACACAAAACCCTGTGTTGGGCTTGAAGTTGCAACACAAACCCCTGTTTGTTTGCACCCACGTGTCCCTGAATCCCAAACCTCAAACTCAGAACTCTCAACCTGACTGCAACACCGTGCACCCCCCCCCGCCTCTTCAACGCTAAATGCCGGAAGTGGAAACAAACAATCCAAACCCTTCGAGCGGCATTATCCTCATGACCTTACTCACAAATAGTCTGAGGATACCAGCACTGCTTATAAACACCGTATATATGCCAAAAACAAACATTACTCCTTGCCTGATGGCGCTGCAGCTCCCTGGGAGACAGGACCGAATCGTCGGATCCCTGCCGTTGGGATGTCGCGTGTGGATAAGGTTTAGAAAGTCTATACGGGTTAGGGTTTAGGTTTTTTTGTTGAGCTCCTGGTTACCGTCTGCCACGCCTCAGAAAAACGGCAAGGCCACACAGGCCAGGAGAAGGATTTAGGATGGTTTAAGGCTTAGTGGGGTTGCGGTTTTGGGTCAAGGGTGAAGCTCCCTTCTTCAACAACCGGGCCCAAAAAAGTTCAAACTTCCTACTATAGAGCTAATATACAAGGCCAAAAAGTTTTAAGTTCCCCCGTTCACTGTCCAAGTAAAGGTTTCAGGTTAATCCCCCAAAGCTGCTGCGCCGCCTCGTCTGCACTTCGATGAGAGCCCCCTGTGAGAGCTCCTTGCGCGACTGGTGTCGAAGAGTCTGAAGGTTTTGATGCAATGGCTCAAGGGTGTAGGGTTAAGGGTTTAGGGCTTTAGGGTTTCAGGGTTAAGGGTTTAGGCTTTAGGGCTTCAGGGTTAAGGGTTTGGCCTTTGGGGGCCTTGTGGACGCCTGACATTCGTGGCAGACCCTGTTTCTTGGCAGTTGTGGGCTTTGCTCATTTATCTCTACCGCATGAAGGTTCAGACATGTTTAGACAAAATGCGCATAACAGAAGTTACAAGTGGAACTGGTAACTGTTCCTATACATATGAATGAGCTAGTTTTCGTAAACAGCCACATTATACATTCACCAAAAACCCTTTCATTACAGAAATCTATATAGTGTTCGTGCGGCTTGCGGCCCAAAACCCTCGAACATCCCGCTCCTAAACCCTAAACCCTGTTGCCGCCCGGCGGCGCGCGAAGGCTGGCCCCTCCCGCAGGTCTTCCTGCAAAGGACCTTCAGGTTCTGAGGATTTGATTGTGGTACGGTTGATGATATAAATCCTGCATTGCCCATAGTAAGGAATATGCCATAATTCCCATAGTTTAGGGTCCTTGGGGTAATGAAGGATTTATATCATCAACCGTAGGACCGTAATGGGCTTGTAGTTTCGGGTGCGGGGTTTACGGGAAAGTGCTTAGGCTTTCAGATTAGGTCAGGGCATGCTGCAGGGTACCCAGAGACTCCAACATCCCTTGATTAAGGAATATACCTTAATATATGGTAGGATCCTTAATATGATGTAAGGTATATTCTCTAATTAAGGAATACTGGAGTCTCTGGGTAAGAACACTTACAGATCGGGACTGGGTGCCGAAACTGTACGTGCTGTACTATACACTACTTTGCCATACTATACCATCCGAAAGGGTCCTAGGTATTGTTACTGGGAGATACTTCCCCAAAACATAATAGTAATTCCTAGAATAGAAACCCTACATTCTACTATTTAGGTCCTTTGGACCCTTGGAGCATACCACACCCTACTATACACCTTAAGTTTGGAGGGCTCCAGTCACCGGGTGTCTGTCTCAGCCAAGGTACCTGATGGCACAGATGTAACGGCGGGGTCCCCATCCTGGCGCCCAGCTAGGATTTTGGGTATATCAAAGGGGAAAGGGAGGGACCCTTAATAAGGACCCCTACCCTACAATTCCTTTTACCCCTGGATTTCGGTATAGTTGGGGGGTTACATTCGGAAGTCAGGCTAGAAACCAGTGCTCTTAGGAGAAAGGGTTCCGGGTTTGGTGTTCCAGGGAGGCCCTGGTTTCCGGCTTTGTGGCTGTCGTCGCCTGCTATAGGGGCCTGAATAATGACCAAAACCGTTTTGGTGGGTCCTTTTCATTGTCTTTATAGTACAATGGGCCCCCAAACCCTATTCTAATTCTTAAGGCTCCCAGACTACGCCCTCCCTAAACCCAAAGGCCTGGATTCTAGACCCTACCCTAAGGCCCTAAGGCTCCAGAGTAGTTCCTTTTTTGGGTTCATATTTAGATTCCTATCAGGTACTCCCAAAAAGGACTTACTATGGAGCCTATGGGTAAACCCTAAACCCCGAACCAGCTCTCGGAGATTCCATTGCCCATCTCACCAAGTTCGATATTTGGGATTTGGGGAACCTACATGTCTATGTACCTAAACAGATCCAAACCATGAAACTAGGTACGCTGGAAAGCCAGAAAGAACCCTGAAGCCTTAAGCCATAAACCATGAAACTAGATGCCCTAGAATTAAGATTAAGAATGAACCCTGAAGCCTTAGGCGATACACCCGGCTGGCAGAGTCCTCCAGGCCCACTTTCAAAGAACCGCTCTCCTGACCTTGGGTTTCTGTGGACAGGCTTTAGGATTTAGGGTTTGGGCTTTTGTGGATAGGCTATAGGCTTTAGGATCTAGGGCTAGGGCTTTTGTGCATGGGTTCAAAGGATTTCTAAGGTTGTTCTGGATAGGGTTTGGGTTGAGGGTTCCGGCTGTTGTGGATAGGCTTCTTAGGATTTTTAGGGTTTAGGCTTCGGTGGATAGGCAATAGGGAAAGGGTTTGGGACTTAGGGCCTGGTTTTTCGTGAATAGGCTTCAGGATTTACAGTAGAAGCCAGAAAGTTGGAATATCATTATCGTAACCCCTTTAAGGTAAATTATAGGGGATCCTACCATGAAACCATATTCCAACTTTCTGGAGTTCCCTGTAGGGTTTGAGCTTTTCATGGATAGGGCTTAGGATTAAGGGGTTGGGCTTCTGTAGATAGGAATGAAAAAAATTAGGTTTTTGAAAGTGTCTTTCGTATACGGCTGTATACGGCTTTATCAGGTGCGTGGCGGTGTATGTTGTTTGGAGAGCCCCATATAACCTACTTGTTACTAGTGCCCCTGGAAGGACAGACAAAACCCACGTTATTGATTAGGATGCCCAGTAACCACCCGTAATTGTCGGAAGCTCCCATATGGGATGTAGTAGATGGGAGGGTCATGCTGAAGCCTCAGCTTCAATGTAGCAGGCGATTCCAAATTTCTCAGGGAGTGGGGTCTCGAGTCTAGGTAGCGAGCAGATGCGGCTGACAGATACTACCAACTGCTTAGGGCGTTTTCTGACTGCGAGACACATAAAGTCAAACACATGCAAAAAGATCATCAGCCCTACGCCTAAAACTCTGAACCCTCAGATGCGCTGCCTGGGTTTAGCAGCTCCCGCCCCCGGCCCCCCCCCCCTGCCAAGCTTTAAGGCTTAACCTTCTCCTTTTCGTCGTCGTGGTCGCGGTCTATGAGACTTCTTTCGTCAAAGGCGGAGCTGCTTCTCTTGGTGCAGGAGCCGAAATCCGGAACCTACACCCCTGAACATCCCTGAACCATGTGGGTGATTCTCAAAATTAGGGTCCCCTTTTTGGGTCCCTATCATAATACGGCGCCTACTATTTAGGGCACCCAGATAAAGGGACCCTAATTCTGACAACTACCCATGTGAGACCTTTAGAGCAGAACCTTGCTAGTTTGGGCCGTATATATTAAGCCCTTCTAACCCATGTAGTGTAATGCGTCAGAACATGCAGGGCTCAAGAAACTCCGGGGGCCGAAATACACCTCTGGAGTCTAAATAAACTTATTAATGAAGTTACCCCACGGGTCCAAAGGATCTAATAGTTGGGTACTCGGTCTTAGGATAGTAGTTATGTCGGTTAGGATTTTGGAGAGTGTATGATTATTAGCTACTTGGACCCTTGGGGTTAGGTCTTTTCGGATGAGGCCGTGGGTGTACTTAGCCGTTGCCAGGGCCACTGAGTCATGGAAACCTATACGGTGCAAAATGGCCCACAGCGGCCGTACTTGGAATAGCCTCTGTGCCCTAAACCCTAAACCCTAAACCCTTGCGCCCAAGACAGTCAATCCCTGAGAAAACCCGGGAACTGAGAAATCCAAACCTCAGGTTCTCCTTTCTGAGATGCAGCCACACCGGTAAAGCTCGGCGTCACCGGCGCTTCGGCCAGTCACTACGTCCTACGCCTACGCGTGGCATCTATCAACGGTGGACGACGCTTATGTAGTCTACAACAGTTCTAGCATGTTCAAGCAGATGGCTGTGAGCTAATGGACTTGTGGTTCAAAGTTTACGAAAATTGGCGTTCAGGATTTTGGGATGAGGGGCCTTTAGGGTTGTGCATGCATATCAACACATGCACAGGCAAAACACACATGTGTATACAAACAGTTACGAACACATACGCATACACGCGCAGACACGCACCACATGCACATACATGCTTACGCACAGACATACCGACGTACAGACAGACATATGCACACAGACTGCTCAAAGTCCATCGAGTAATCAGGGTACCTTGAAAAGGGAATATACACCTCTGATACGTTCCTTAAGGCTAAGTTTGGCGTACGATGGTTACTTGATCTTTAACTTCCAAACCCTGCGCCGCCAAATCGTCAAAACCGGAACCCTGACCCCTAAACTCTAAACCCAATTCCCCTAAGCATCCTAAAACCCTTTGGAACCTTTGTAAAAGCCTCACAAACCCCCAAATCCAAACCAAAGTTGGAAGCCCTCTTCTGGCCCGAAGGCACAAAACCCCTTGACCTCGGGCTTTACCTAAAGTCTCCATTGTAGTTCCTTTTTCTGGTTAACCAAAAACTATATTATAGGATCCCAACCATAAAACTGGTTAACCAAAAAACGAACTACAATGGAGACTATAGGTAGGGCTCAGAGTCCCTAAACCCTAGACCCTAAACCCTAAAACACAAGTTCAGAGTTTGTTCTTCTTTGTTGGCCGGCCCTGGTTTAGGGTTTAGAGTTCGCTTTATATAACCCTGAATGACCTACCTTTTCGGGTTCCTTATTATGATTTCCTTCTACAAGTCCTTAAAAATGCGGGTTCTTCGGGGCTAAGGTAGAGTTTGGGGTCTAGGGCTGGGGGACACTCCATTAAAGCTTGGCTTGCATCGGGTTAAGGGACCCCTATAAGTATACTCAAAAGTATATTCCTGACTATTGGCTTAATTCTAGATTCAGTATGCTAGGGGAACGAAAAGTTAAACTGTTACTGTAAATTGACATTATAGTACTCCATGAAGGCTAAAGGTCACCTACTCTACGAACTCGAGGTGCGTGCCCGGTTTATGTCATTGTAATGTAAGGTGAACTGGCTCTGGGATCACTCCAGAGCGCTCGGGTTGGACAGTTGCACAGAGCTTGCGCAGCAGCCGCAGTAGTAGTAGCAGAAGTTGTAGATGACCTGGGCTTTTCGGTCACTGCTATGGCCACAGACCAACCCAAAACCCTAAAACCTAACCCCTAAACCCTCAACCCTAACCCCTAAACCCTAACCCCTGAGCCCTAAACCCTAACCCCTAAACCCTAGGACTTGTTCACGCATGCCAAGCCAAGCGCCCATCTTGACTCCTCACAGCCCGAAGCACAGATTTCCACCTCAACCCGAAACATCAATGTCCTGCGGCCCCATTGCTAAAGCCTCATGCAATAGAGGCCCCCTAACAGGAGCCATGGTACAGCTATCCAGAAGAAGCTGATACCAATCGAAGAAGCCGCCGAGATGTAGCCGTAGACTTCCTCGCAGTTAGGTCCGGCTGTGTTGTAATTAAGTCACACCTATAATTCACGGCTTAGGGTTTCGGGTTTAGAGTTTTAGGGTTTTGGGTTTAAGGGTTTAGGGCCATAAACCCACAGTCACAACCCCCAACCCCCATGGCCAAAAACCATGAAACCTGCACCCCAACCCTCCACATGAAGGTCCTGACGCTTAAATCCACCAAATCCCTTGCACCTGTAGAGCCCTACCTGGTTGTGAACCGTAACCAAACCCTCAACCCCCAAACCCCCTAACCCTGAAACGAATTCCCTGACAAAACTCACGAGAGCTACAGTAGAAGCCCAAAAGCTCAAGAGTAATGTATAGGGAATCCCAGCACTATTTGGCCTTAATCCGGTTTCCAGCTTTATGGGGTTTACTGTAAACCCTTTACGGAGCCCTTCTTCTGGATCCTTTTCAAGCAACCCTAAACCCTAATGGTTTACGGTACTTGGAGGATCATGGGACTACTTTAAGTGGGCTTAGAAGTGGGTACACTTACCTTATTTATAACCCCAGTTACTAAGTCCCATGATCCTTTAAGTAGACCCTAAAACCCCTCTTATAGAACCCTTATAGATCCCTTTAAAGGCACTCTTTAAGGAACCCCAGTTACTAAGTCCCCGGATCCTTTAAGTGCGGTACTCCCCGTAAGTCAGGTCCTCGCTGCAGATGCGGTACTCTGTGCCCTGCCAACTCCAGGCCTCTGAGGCTTCAGGGGCTTCCCAGAGACTCCAATATCCCTTAGTTAAGGAATATACCTTCTCTACTATATGTAATTTAAGGTATATTCCTTGATAAAGGGATATTGGAGTCTCTGGGTTAGGGTTTCGGGGCTTAGGGTTTTAGCTTGAGAGCTAAGTTTAGGGTTTAGGGGTTTAGGGCTTTAGAGGTTTAGGGTCTAGGGTTGAGGGTAGGGCCCAAGAGGTTTCGGGGCTTAGGGTTTAGGGTGGGAGTTTCCGAATTGGGGGTACCTTGATTTGGGGTCCTTACAATAAGGATCCTACTGATTTAGGGTGCCATATCAGGGTCTCCTCTTCTTGCTTAGGATTTTAGCTTGAGAGCCAAGTTTAGGGTTTATAGGGGTTTAGGGTCTAGGGTTGAGGGTAAGGCCTAAGAGGTTTCGGGGCTTAGGGTTTGGGGGCTTAGGATTTTAGCTTGAGAGCTAAGCTGAGGGCTTAGGGGTTAAGGGGTTTAGGGTCTGGGTAGGGCTTGTAAGCCTCCACCTATAGTTTCCATCGTAGTTCCTTTTGGCGGGTTACCTTATCTGGGCTCAGAATTCTGGCTGGTTTAAGATTAGGGTTCCTATAGAGGGAGCCGCAAGGGCTCCTCAGAGGGATCTATAAGGGCTCTATGAAGAGGTTTCGGAGCTTACGAGTTTAGTCCTGAGGGCTTTTTTCGCGGGGTTTAGGGTTTGGGTAGGGTTTGAGGATTAGGGTTTAGGGGTTTAGTTTAAGGTTTAAGGGTTTTGGGGCTTAGGATGTTAGCTTGAGGGCTTTTTTGGTGGTTTAATCCCTGAAATGAAGAAATATACAACAGATTCCAATAGGATCCCTAATATGATTTAAGGTATATTCCCTAATTAAGGGAGTTTGGAAGATCTGGGTTTCAGAATTTGCGATGAAGGGCTTATGGGATGTCGTTACGGGACACGTCAAGCTCAGGAGTTGGAGTTTGGGCCATTGGGGTTCGCGGTTTTTAGGGTGTCCAGCCGAGCAGCGGTAATGT